TTACTTACTGTTACTTTAAAATCCTAACCAAAAGAACGGAGAGGCTCTGAAAAACACCTTACATATTAATAGGGCTCAGAGCCGTTTTTAATTTTTCAATACTGCTTTCGATGCGATACCCTAGTTTTTAAACTTATAAACTACTTTGTGAAATATGAAACACTTCTGATTAATTTAGCAACAAACAGATAAACTTATTTAACCAAGCATTGGATGTCGAGTTGGGATTTTTAACAGCTCCATTCTCTGTGGCATAATGAACTTATAGATTTCATCACTTGTCCTTACTGGCCTGGAGCACTAACCACAGGGACCATGAAACTAATTCCCCCGCAGATTGTCATTAACGTCCCAAACGGCAGCATTATTGACCCTTCTGCTGCAAAAATACATATAATTGTCAGCACATTTATATACTTTTATCCCGGGGGCGGTGTAAGGGTGGAATTACATGCGCTTTCGCAGGGACTTTTTTTTTCGAGTGGGATACTGCGCCAACTCCTGTATGTTAACTGCAAATGTTGAACATTTACAGGTGGTTTATGTATTTTTGTTTCCTGATTTGAAAGGCGTTTTAAATGGAAAATTACCAGGCTTGTGCTGTAGTTCTGTGGACTGTCCAGTGTTGGGGCCTCTTACATGACTAAAAAGTCTGAGTAGCTAATAGTTTGATAGGTGAGGGATTTTTAAATGCTTTTAGACCCTACAAAACAAAGTATATTATTTTCAGGATGTAGAATGCTTTTCCTCGACTGAACCTGCTGCAATTTTGCTCCAAAAAACAGAGAAAGCAAACCAACAGATAGCATTTATGTGCATATATTAATATTTCCAAACCACATAAGCAACCACAATCACCCAGATTTTAACACAAGATGAAATCTTTGCAGACTTCATAAAGCCTTCCACACAGAAAGAAGCCATTAGCCAGGCCTGCACCTTATTAAGATGGCGACACTAAATTAAAGACATAAAAACAAAATATGATTTTTTTTTTTGTAAATTTATCACTGGTTTCACTACGAGTGTTTCCCATTTTTTCCAAGCAGCCCACCTCTCCTGGTGTCCCAGGTCCTGCAGGAGTGTGTCAGCGTACTTCTGCCTCTCGCTGGGCTCAACATTGGCCAGTTTCTTCACCTCGCTGCGGACAAAGTACCAGAACTCCTTAACCCCATTCTCCACCCTCCGCCGCAGCTCCTCCTGAGTGGGCCCGGGACCTACAAGGACCAACAAAAACACTCAGCTTCTGTGACATTTTAGGCACAGGCGTAGAACTATTGAGTTACTCAGCTAGAAGAAACAAGGTGCCAGGAGGACTTTCAGAATATCTGAGCATTATATTATGAGAGCGTAAATAACCTACAAGCACAAAGCAAGGTCTGGGAACATAACCATTAGAGTCTTCTTCTTTCATACTCTGTCTCTGGGTGTTTTTTTGACCTCATTATTAACAACTTGATCACTTTTTCCCTCCTGCTTGCGATGGCGCTCTTGTGTTTTTCGAACACAGGGAGGATCTCTATACCCCTCCCGAGCCAAACAATGTGGAGTAACCTACATGGATAACACAGCTGCCTGCTCTCATTTTTGTGGAGAAAAACAGAAGAAAAAAAATCGAGGGAAGGAAAGAACAGCCTCAAGCAGGGGAAGGAGTTGGTGAAGAGGAAAAAGCTCTTATTTTTTCCCTTGTTTCTCACATATTCTCTTTTCTCTTTAGTGCCTCCCTTGTGGAAAAAAGCTGAAGGGTATTTTTAGCTTTTTCCTCCCCCTGCGGCAAGATGGAGAGACTGACCCTGCTCTGCCCTCCAAGCTCGCATGTCTTTTCCCCCCCCTTTTCTCTTTTCCCCCCTCACCTTTCACTCTTGCCAATGGTACATCCACACTGCTTCCATTTCATTCACACATTTCTTTGCTCACCTGACAGCTTACCTGCCCCTCTGACCATGCTTAGGGTGGCAAATACACACATAGCCCTGTCCATCTCATCATGTGGCTTTGCCATTATTGCTCCAGAGCTAGAGCAGGCTTAACGCCAGACTAGACTCAGATTCTCGCTGCAGGCAAAAGCTCATAGGAGTCATAGACTCAAAGCTCATAGACAGCCCACACCTTGAAAATCTATTTTTTTTTCCCTCATATTTGTAAGCTCTGTGCCAAATTCTTCCCTGCAACCTTTTAGGTAACTCTACTCTGCTTACCATCTCCAGTAAGTTTCTGGAAGCTGTGGATCTTCTGTTTGGCTCTGGTTAGTTGGTCCTCCAGGGAGCGCAGCCTTCCTGCTGCCAAGGACCCGGCATCGGCTTGACCCTCTGGTATCCTGACGGACACAATAGGAGATATAACAGATGAATTTGGGAACATGCACATCACTAGTAAGAGAAAAGAGCAAAAATATCCATCTCTGCAGATAAGCTGTGCTGCAAATGTAAAATTAAATAGGTAAATAAAGGAGACACTGCAATAAATTCATTTTTCTCATCTCAATAATGAAGGGTCACACGATGTATATGTTGTGCACTTGTAAGTCTTTAAATTGCTTATTTAGAATAGACAAAATAAAGCCATGAGTTTTAAATTTACAGTGATTTTAATGGGCTAACAGCCAATATTTGACTTTTGATTCTTTATTGGGTTTTAAAAGAACGTTTATTACAAATTTAGTTTAAGGGAAACAAATGGAACATTTTCCTAATTCTAAAATTGCAAATATATTCTTCAAATCATAACAAGGAAGAAAAAAAATTCTCCAACATCTTTAAAACTGACATATGCAGCAGGCAGGAGAACCTCAAAATCAAACTCTAATCCAAACAACCTCTAATTTGGTGTTTTACCCATTTATATCTTAAGCAGTAATCAGTTTGAGGCAAACCGTAAAAGTGTTGTGGTGACAAGCAGATGCACATACAGAAATACTTTGATATATTAGAGAGTCTCTGAGCTCTTTGTCACACAATGCTTGAACATTTAGCCAGAGCAAAACTGACGTTTGACGACAGATAAAAATCCTTTGCACACATCAATGTCATGTTGTTTTCCCCACCCAAGTCAAAAATCTATCAAAATGTCAGATTTTTGCAGATATGTCTTTGCATCTTTATTGAAAACAGGTAAATCACATGTAGTGCAAGGCTAACTTGATGTAAAAGTCGCTGGAACACAAACTCGATTACCACCAAACTGACTTTTTAACAGTCTAACAATGTAGCTGAGTATTCTGATGAATCAGTGAAAATGTTTATCTTCCATCATGCACTGGTTAGTGAACCATATCTCTTCTGAATTAAAAGCTCCTTTCAAAACTAAGCCACGAAAGCTGGCATCTCGCAGTGTTCGCCACTGAAAATTCCATTTCATTTACTAAAAACACCACAGCGCAGCGTTCCAGAGCCCTGTCCTGATTTATTTATTCAGAGCTCAAGATTATGCACAGGGCACTGAATCACTCTCCGTGTTTGTTAAGGCCGACCTGTCTCCTACTCTACAGTTTTACAAAAATATCCCAAGAATCCACTGAGCAGTCTCTGAAGCGAAAGGCAAATGATGGTGAAATGCCATGTGTTACATTTAATCAAATAATGTAGAAGACAGAAACAAATAAAAGCAACTCGTAAGCTAGAACATGGTTCTCCTTTTACTACACGAATGGCAAATGCATTGAGTTTGTAATGCAATACCCTCCATAGGCTAACGTTTTAACTCCTTAATGGATACAAATTTGATTTAGTGGCAGGATCATAGCATACAAAGATGACACTAAATTACCATTTCAGAAAAACCACAGCTACATAAAAGCTATACTAGAGCACTAAATTGATTATTTACAATTAGTTACTGTACTTTGACTGTTTATCGGCAGACGCAGTGGGAATTCCCTCTGATTACAGCATCTACCATGTGCTACATTAGTGCTCCGGAGACTATGGCGGCCCTTTTGTTACCAGGCACGACTGTGATGCTGGTACTGTTTTCGAAATCTGCGTTGGCGTCATGGCAAGATGCCGCCCCGGCGACACTCAGAGTAGTCGGATCTACTTAAAAGACAGGCATTAGTCCTTTGGCATGTATTTATACAACCGACAAGCACAAATAATACAAAACTTTGACTTTCTATATGAATATGAATTACATGCATGTAATAAAAATACAAATGAGCACTCTGACAACAGAGTTCAAATTAGCCAAAGGAAAAAAAAATGCCACTGACATTATACAAAATCAATTTCTCTACATAAACTCATTAAAAACTGAATATGTCCAAATGCACAGGGGCATTAGTGAAGTGCTGCAAAGGCCATGTTAATGAGTCATCAAGGCATGCAAACTCAATTTGCTCCATAAATAAGGAACATCAGTCGCTGGCAGGCATAAAGATGAGACTTTTAAAGTTGCAGTAGCCTTTCTTGCCACACAACTTCCCCCTCATTCCCCAGAAGCCCTGGCCTCCCACTTCACTGAGCACTAACTGAGCATTGTGCTTCAAAGCCATGGAAACTGAAGAGAAAAGAGAGGTTATTTGACATCTACATTACGTAACTGCATCATGGAATGCTAAACCTCTGCATAACATTGTGGCACCACGGATATTTATATGCATTCCTTAAATCAGGGCTTCTTTTCTCCGTGAAATCTATGATGTGTCCCGTTACAGCTTCCTGACACAGATCTTTTTTTAAAAAGGACCCAGGTGCATTTTCAAACCAAATATCAGCTGTAGTATCTTTTTTCACAGCTAACTCTGTTCAGAAAAGCCGTCCCTAAAGGCCTTAATCCAGTAGTTACTCCATTGTACAGGAAGTAGGACAATTACAAAGTGACATCATTTCCTAGTGTGACTTTTTGTTCTTTGACAAAGCACACGGACACAAAAAACAGAAGACGAGGCGATCTATGTAACCTGAAAAGTTTTTGGCATCTGCAGGGGATGAAAAGAGGCAGGATTACATTGCAGTAGTGCAGTCAGTGGGGTTTTTATGTCCCATTACAAATATAGATGTCTTTTTATGCAAGTATTTCTTTTGCAACTTATTTATTATCAAACGTTCATTCTGCTGCCCTTTATGTAGATTTCAACAAAATGCTCCCAACATATCAAATCTTTAGCTATTCCTCTTTCACAGAGCTCAAAATCTACGATAAATATTGAGCCAATCTAGACTAAAAACTATTAACTTCCATTATTAAAAAAAACATAAAAACAACAGTCAGACATCTGTTGAGATCAAAAATGTAAAATCCCCCCCCTAAAAAATCTCAAAGTGCATTTGAATTCCCACCACCGATCTAAGCTTGAAGTGGAAGACTTTGTCTTTACTGCCTACACATGTAGTAAAGACAGTCGACCTATATGTGACAAATTAAAGGGGAAAAAATACGATAAAATGTATTAGACCACCATTTGCCACCAATTCGCTTTTGAGAATAGTTCAATCCCCTTAATTAAATTAATGAAGTAATTTAAAAGTGTTTACTAACTTATAAACCTTACATAATTAATCAAATCACATTAAACAAATAAACTTCTACAGGTCAAGCAGAATTGATGCACTTGGACCCAAAGGAATTGAGGTTTCTCACATGATATCATGTGCACATTGGAGTTGTCCCCCATACTACATTACCAGTTGCTAGGGAAGAAAATGTACTTCCTGACTGGTTGGCAGTGGTTCCTGGAGATTGTCGGATCTCACTGGGTAAAATTTATTACAAAAAGGTGCTGCACCAAAAACCTCCTAGTGTTTGTTTTATTTGCTGGAAGACTTCCACTGTTGCCTGTATTTAACCATGTTTTCTGCATATACATACTAACTGCTAACCCAGCAGTAGTAAGACTTGAAAAAAAAAAGTGCAATACAAACTGCCTTTAATGAAAATTTACCACCTTTTGAAACATGTTTTCGGTCTGTGCCCCACTTGGTCAACTGGTCTGTAGAAAGCTTCCATCACTCTCCAGCAACCACTCACAACAACTCGGGTAATCCTCATTTTTGTGTCCTAACCACTGATTGCCTGGTCTCTAGGCCTATGTGACTCGGGTTTTATTCACTTGATCCCACATTGTTATCATAATCGTGGGCGATTATGGCTCAAGATTTGGGAGTTCGCCTTGTAATTGGAAGGTTGCCGGTTCGAGGCCCGGCTTGGACAGTCTCGGTCGTTGTGTCGTTGGGCAAGACACTTCACCCGTTGCCTACTGGTGGTGGTCAGAGGTGGCGCCAGTGTCCGGCAGCCTCAGCCTCGCGTCTGTCAGTGCGCCCCAGG